ACATGGGCAATACCTTTACCCAGCCTGTGTAACAGAGTGTATTCATAAGCATTCAAAAAAATTGCCCATCGAAGCATACGTGGTGACAATATCTGCAATGTCTGTCGGTCAGGGGCAAACAGTCCCAACAACGGTTTATGGTCAGTAACTATAACAAATGGTCGACCATAAACATAATCATGAAATTTCTTCATACTTGCTACAATTGCCAATGCTTCCTTATCACTTTGTGCATAATTTCATTCAACTGGGGTCATTGTTCTAGAATAGAAGGCAATAGGAGCCTCATGAGAATCTGTAAATTGATGGCTTAAAACAGACCCAATACCATATGGGGATGCATCGCATGTGAGAATTAGTGGGTTTTGTTCATCATAGTGGACCAACACACTATCAGACAACAACAACTTTTTTACATCACAAAAAGCCCTCTCATGCTGAGCTGTCCATTCCCACTTAGCCTGCTTATCCAAAAGACGATGCAGAGGTTCTGCCACTGTTGCCTTATGCCACAAGAACGTATGATAGAAATGCAAAAGTCCCCAAAATGCTTGGAGTTCCTGCTTACTCTGTGGCACTGAAGCATCATGAATCGCTTTAACCTTAGCAGGCACAGGATGAATGCCATCTGCATCAATAAGGTAGCTGAGAAATTCAATCTGTGGGACACCAAATGCACACTTTTCATGTTTCACCTGCAGGCCAGCATCTGCAAAACGATGCAACACCTCACGTACCCATGTTGCAAGTTCCTCAGTGGATGCCCCCACAATCAGGACATCATCAAAATAGGGTACCACATCTGGAATTCCCTTAAGGATGTCCTCTATAAGCTTCTGGAAAACACCAGGGGCCACAGAAACCCCAAACTGAAGACACTTTACTTTAAAGGCCCCTCGATGCGTGGGAATAGTTTGGGCATCAGCTGTCTTATCATCAACCAACAGCTGTTGGTAAGCCTGTGCCAGGTCTAATTTAGCAAACACTCTTCCCCCTGACAGGGAAGCCAAAAGATGACTCACTACTGGAATCGGATATGCAAGGCTCTGTTTATGGTACACTTATAGTCACCACAAATACGAATGTCCCCATTAGAATTCATTGGTGTTACAATGGGTGTCTCCCAGGTAGGATGTGACACTGGCTCTAATATACCTTGCTCCAACAGATGATCAAGTTCAGCATCAATCTTTTCACGAAGGGCAAATGGAACACGCCAGGGTTTCATCCAAATAGGCACCACAGTAGGATCTAAAACCAATGAAACAGGTGGGCCCTTATATTGCCCCAGTCCCTCAGCAAATATAGTCTTAAACTCAGTAATGATGTCATCAGAAGGGGCACCATTTACTTGATGGATGCCTGTGATTGTAATTTCCAAGGGCTCAAACCAATCCAACCCAAGAAGGCTGAGATGATGACCATGAGCAACCAATAGCCGTAAGGTCCCACTAAATGTGCGATATTGCACTTCAACCTCACAGATGCCTTGTATCTTCACCATATTTCCTTGATAATCAGTCAGCTGAGTATGGAAAGGGACAATCTCTGGGCCCTTCTGTGGACAAATCTGACGATAAGTCTCTGATGAAATAATAGAAAATCCTGACCCAGAGTTCACCTCCATAACACACGAAACTCCCTGAATAATAGCAGTTACTGTCAATTTGTTTTGTACACATGGCTGAACATGATTTACAATATTCTCTGATTCGTCACATGACACTTATACCAAATGTGCGGTATCATGACTCTGAGGTTTCCTTCCCGTTGTTTTCCTTAGAATAGCTTGTCTATCTTTAGCCCAACACACATGCTCAATATGCCCAAAACGCTTACAGAAATGACATTGTACATTCCTAAGACGGCAGGACGGCCTTTCATGATGTCCTCCACAACTAGTGCACCTTGTAGTCGGGCTTGAAAAGGACCTCTGATTTTCCCCAACATTCATTTTGGCTGCAGGATTATTCTGCCGCACCTTATGAACATCCACTGCTTGCAAATAAAGATTTCTAGTTTGGGAGTGCGATGGGTTTCTTGCCAAACGGACTTCCCTGGTATTTACCATTGCTGCCTTAGCAGCTAATGCCTCTTCTTGTGCAATTTGAAGTGTGAGCTGTTTCTTTGCAAACAGACGCCTCTGCAAAAGCTTCATCATGCAGTCCAACCAAATGATCACGCAGCATCTCCTCTAAGTTTGGAAAGTTGCGATGCTGTGCCAGCTGTCGCAATTCAGCAATATATGAAGAAACACTCTCTGCTGGACTCTGGTTACGCGTATAAAAGGCATTACGTCGTGCTATCTCAGACGGCTGTGGTGAGAAATGTTCTCCCAGGGCACTCAAAATGTCCTCATAAGACGTCTCAGCAAGTTTATTTGGAGCCAACAAAGCCTGGGCTAATTCAAACGTATCTGCTTCACACATGCTGAGTAACACGGCCCTTTTCTTCGCTGGTACTGTAATGCTATTAGCAATTAAGTAAAATTCCAGCCTCGCTACACAACTTTCCCACTTGCCAGGACAACTGGGATTGAATTCTTCAATATGTCCTTGAGCTGCCATGCCCCCAAGTTGCTGACTGACCTGAGGATGTTTAAAATAATTCCAGACAGTTCATGCAATACCTCAGACCAATTCTTCTATATTTACTTAACTCCTCCATAAAGGGGAAAAAATACTTTTTACATTCCTCACGAATCCCATCCTCGTTGCCAGTTGTTATGTCCTCGGTAAGAAGAGTCCACTCCAAAATGAAAGAAGGTTTATTGCAGTTCCATAAAACACAAGTAACACATCTCAACAGCTGCAGCTGTAACAAACTAGAAAGCTAGGGCGTGGAGTGTGGAAACAAGCTACTTTTCTTTTGTACTGTATTGTACTGTACTGTTCTTTTGTACTGTATTGTTTTATTCTGTTTTTATCTGTCTTACCTTTGGCACTTGTGCCTCTTTGTTAGCCGCCCTGAGCCTTCGGGGAGGGTGGGATATAAATCCAAAAATAAATTTAAAAAAAATACTTAAGGCTACGCTCCCACACTATGCGTACAGGAACCCAAGGAGGTCAATACACTACAGGGGGGGCACATTACTTTCTGCTGTACCCCCTCGTTGGATTATTTCCCCCATATCCTCTCCCATTTCCCTGCCTCATTCTCTTTCTCAGCAATTCAACAACCCATATTTTATCTGCCGCCCGTCTTTAGCTATATTTATAATTTATTTACTGCATTTATACACCCCCTTTCTTCACAATGGGACCAAAAGGGCTTACATCATTCTCCCCACCTTTTTATCTTCACAACAACCCTGTGAGGTGGGTTAAGTTTAAAGCATGTGACAGGCATAACATCACCTAAAGACCTTATGTGGCAGAGTGGTGATTTAAACCTGAGTCTTCCAGACCTTCCTCTGAAGCTCTAACCACTACACTACACTGGCTTTATAAAGGGTGGATGCTGTTGAACAGTAGCAAGCAGTCAAGCCTAGTTGAGTCATGCAAGTTGGGTGGTATCAAGTCACCTGGAGGTTGCTGCCCAGCCTAGGGTTTCCAAACTTCAGGTGAAACCTGGAGATCTCCCGGTATGAGAACTGAACTCCAGACAACAGAGGTCTGTCCTCCTGGAGAAAATGGCTGCTTTGGATGGTGGACTCTATGGCATAATATACATCTGAGGCCTCTCCCATCCCCAAACCCTGCCCTCCTCAGACTCTACCTCAAAATCTTCAGGAATTTTCCTATCTGAGCTGGCAACCCTAGCCAGGTATGGCCCTAATGAGTTCTCCCTCAAAGGCCAAAACAGTCCTGGAAAAGGGCCCTGCCTCCTCCCCCACCTTTTACTAAGGAAAACCAAGCCTGGAATGCTGTGGTTTCCTAGCAACAGCCACTGACAGAATCCATTTGTTAAAGCTACAGGTGCTCCTTTTATCATTTGGGGTTTTTTAACTTCCTTTTTTTTTGTTAGATTTCAGACTTGTCTGCAAACTGCATTGTTCAGGTTTGTAGAAAGATCTATCTTGCTTGGTCACAGCTCCAGTCACTGGACTTAAGTATCCTCAGGTTTGGCTGATTTTGCCATTAGAATATACAAGGGTGGACCTGTGAGACTTGTGGGGGGGGGTTCACTCCACTGCTCCCACTTTCTTGCCTGGCCTACCATAGCTCCCATGCTGTGCTGCTGCCATTGGACCCAGTGCATCTCCTGGGCTCTGCTGCCACCAGGCACAGCATGGCTCCCAGGCTCCACTGAGCTCAGTGCGGCTCCCAGGCAGCACCACCCCCAGACCCAACACAGATCCTGACTTGTGTTGCCAGGCCCAACACGGCTCCCAGATTCCTCCAATGCTACCAGCAACCACTGGAGGTAGGTGCACTCTCTGTGCTCATGCAGGGTACACTCTTTTATTTGGGAGGGAATTTAAACCCCCCAATGTATTTTTTAAAGATGTCATATTTTTCTGCAAACCTAGGGAGTTCCGAAGTTTGCAGAAACATCTGTTTTGGTAAGTGTGGTCCTGATCCGCAGATTAAAATATCCACACTTGAGAAACAGATATATAGATTATGATGATATCATATATGTTAGTCATAAGAGGTTCTATAACTGCTGGAGTGTTTTCTTATTGTTTTAGTGACTGTTTTTTACTTGTTACAATTGTAATCCATTTAAGATTGTCATTAGCAGAGATGCTACACAAGTGCAGGATAGAAACTTCAGCATTTTCTACAGTGGCAAATGAGAGTTGCTGCCAAAACCAAATCAAAGGCAAAATTCAGTGCAAATTCAACAGGTCAGCAATTCAGTTCTTGAGCTTCAGAGGGATACAAAAAGAACTTATATATGCAACATTTTATAGGCAAGCGTGGTTATTAGATTTTGCCTAAAGCAAAGTCTGAGGTTCTCCTTCAGGTTACCTATTTGAGTAATTAAGATCAAAGCCCAGAAATTGTAGGGTGACCAAAAGCAGCCCCAGTGACATTATTAATCACCATGAGTACCTGGGAACTGAAATTTCCCCTTGGCCAGGTTTTGCAGGATTGCATCTCATGATCACAACAGAAGTAAAACCAATTTCACAGGTGGCTGTAACTCCGGAAAACCTACAAAGAAATAAGAACATAAGAATAAAGTCCTCAATAAGACAGAGATTTTTTTTTCCCCTTTGGCTGTTTTTAAAGCAACTTTTCTGGGGAGCCACTGCCTCAAGGACCCAGCTATTTCTGCTTCCCCCCAGCTCAGTGTCAAACTGGAATATAAAAGCATGCTGAGTTCACTGTAGATCTCCTGAGGACTATGGTATCCACAAGAGATATAACATTTCATTTTTCGAATATGGTTACAGAAGTTAATGACAGTGTTTGCATGTGATTGTGTGTGAGGTAGAAGGACTGACTGAGTTCTAATAAATTTTGGATTTTAATAAATTCTAGCTTGGGTTCCCAGTTACTGTTTCAAGTTTCTCTGAACTTCTACATTCCTCTAAAAATTGCGTAACTTGATAGATCTGTATGTGAGAGAGACTTCTACCTACTTGTAATAGAAATGCACATCAGGCATCTTCCATTCAGACTGATTAAACATTACTGGATTAACATTAATGCTTCCCAGATTTGTTTCTATAGTAGCTCCTGGACAGGGAGGAAAAAAGGAATTACATACAAGAGGAACAATTGTTGATTTTTTTTATACTTACATTAAATTCAGCATATAGTCTATAAAACTGTCAGTGCTTTTTGATTTGATAAAATGGAATTTGTCTTGTGCCTAGGGCAGCTGTTTTCTAAGAACTTTCATATGGATTTCAAGGAAAAATCATGAAACAGAAGGAGAACAAGAAGCTTTAACTCAGGAACTTTAACATTCATACTTCATGTCATGTATTGAGCCTAAGCCATTCCTCAAGCTGTACCAGGAACGGGGTGAGCTTGCTGCTCTAGAACAATAGCTCACCTGGATCCTGGGGCAAACCAATAGATAAGAGGTGTAATGTAAATAGCCTATAATTGGGAATGGGTAGGGGTCATTTCATAGAAAAAGAGGTGCAGGAGCTCATTAGTATAACTTATTTGCATATGCCACACCCATCGACATCATTGGAAGTGAGTCAGAAGGCAACACCCACCACTCAGGCTCCACCCCAAAAATCTCCAGGTATTTCCCAACTCAGATTCAAACCTGGGTCTCCCAAATCCTTGTCTGGAACACTAACCACTACACAACACTTCATGGGGCAGCAGCTGTTGAGCAGTAGCAAGCAGCTGGGCCTGCATGAGTTATGCAAGTTGCATGGTGTCAAGTTGTCCAGTGGCTGCTGTCAGGCCTGACATGCTCTCTCCCCCTACGTTTTACTGACAAAAACAAATGCTTGAAGGCTGGAAATACTGCTGTGGTTGACAAACAATGGCCAATAAGAGAATTCCTTTCATATAGCTACAGGTGCTGCTTCTATTATGGGTGAGGGTTGACCCAGTGTATTTTAAGCTGCCATAGATGATGGACGGCAGCTGGCTAGGTACTTCCCTACTGGTCCGAATCTCCCACAGTTTTTTCTCATGAAGATGTTTCTGGCTGATAAAATCAAAGTATAAGACAATCATAATAAATCTATTTAATTCTTGACATGGCCAAATGTGTGGATAGTTAGATCCATAAACAAACAAGACAGATGTTTCTACAAAAACTCTGAAATTAATTTATTATGGGATTTCTATCCCGCCCTACCCAGTGGCTCAGGGCGGCTAACAGCATACAAATACTAAAACAATAAAATACGTTTTTTAAATACAATAAAAACTGGTGCTTCAGTCTATATAATCTATACCATTTACAGATACTCGGCGATTATTTGCTGCCTGTGATCTTGACAATAGAAGTGTCCCCAACGCAACAAACTAATCAACCTCCATGGAGTCTGGTAGAAGGACAATATAATGATCCTCCCCAGTTGTGGAGGAGGGCAGCAGGCTCCCATCATTGAAGGGAAGGCAAACCTGGATCCCGGGGCAAACCAATAGATAAGAGGTGTAATGTAAATAGCCTATAATTGGGAATGGGTGTGTGTTGGGTGTGGTGTTTGGATGCTTTATAAGCAGGGCTCACGCCTTGCTGGGTGTCCTTGTAGTTTGCTAAAATCACTGGATAAACTAGAACTGATCACTGCAATGCATCCAGGACCCAGTATTTAACACTTCATGAACCTTAAAAAACTCTCTTTAGCAACCAACCAACCAATTAAAAAAAGAACCAAAAACTTTTTAAATCCTTGCATACCACCCATGGCAACCACCAGTAAAGTGACAAATATTCTGAAAAGGGAGCACCTTTAAAAAAAATCCTGACCCTTGCAAACATAGCTCACTGAAAAGAAAAGAAGACCCAGAAGACTGAGACAGGAAGTCTCAGGACCACGGAGGAGGACAGAAGACAGACCAGGCACTGGAGAGGGGACCCATGAAGAAGAACAGAAGGGAAAGACTCATCATTGTGTGTTTGCATGCAGGATCCTTGAAGGAGTCATACACACTCTCTAGATTAGGGGTGCCAAACATGCAGCCCGCAGGCTGGATCTGGGCTCCGCAAGGCTCCTATCCAGCCATTGAGCAACTGGCTCTCTCCTGCTTCCTTCTTCAGTTCTGCTACTACTGCATCGCAGCTTGCTTTGCCAGACTCTCTCAGTTGCACAGGAGAGATGGATAGGTAATCCTCTGTAGTCTGCATTGGTTGAGGCGCCTCCCCCTCCTCCTTCCAGGGGGAGGAAGGGAACAAGCCAGAGCTTGCTTTCTGTTGAGGCTCTCTCAATCGCATAGGAGACAAAGGCAAGCCTTTCTTCCCTTCCATTGGCTGAAGCTCCTCCCCTTTGCTCAGCTGCCTCAATTGCATGGGAGAAATACAAAGCACCTTTAAGACCAACAATTTTATTCATGGTATGAGCTTTTGTGTGCCTTGCTACAGTGTGTGCATATTTTGTTGGGCTTGTTATGCTGTGTGTGTGTGTGTGTGTGTGTGTGTGTGTATTTTGTTGAGCTCATTGTGCTGTGGCTCTCCTGGGTGCAACTGGGTTCCCCTCCTCTTTTTCACTGTATTCATGTCCTCATGATCCAGTCTTTCTCAATAGGAAAGCAATGTGAACTATTTAGATGAGGAATAACAGCAAGCCAGTGAAGTGGATTAGGCACATTTTCTTTGTAGACTGGGGATTTTGAACCTCCCAGATAGTAGGCTGGTACTGACCACTATACATAGCTATGTCTCTATCCTTGCACTGCCTCATAGGAGTTGCAGTTATTTTTCTGTGAAGACTATAGGTTTGTAGACAAACACATAGCCCTCACTTTGTGTCATGATGCCTTCACATGTTCTTGACCAGCACCCGAAGCAATTTATGTACAAAAGCTCGCAATGCCCAGCCATTTCATGTTTTTCCCTGAGTCCAAGGCTCAGAGCACTGACCATGAGATTTCTGTAATGAGTGTCAATAAATCAAAAGTAGGTTTGCAACTTACAGATACACACCTGAAAAGCATACTCAAGATAGCTACAGCACAGACATTTTGCTGCAATAATTCAGAGCAAGAGGTGTCAGTTATCAGAGACTGTTAAATAAACCAAATATTGCAAGAGTGCATGTTTTAAGCATGCTTTTGTTTTAAGAAAAGTCTTTAATTGTGTTTGTATCCTTTATAAAGTTTATATCTCCGCTACCTGGAATTACATTTTATGACACACATGGCCCAGCCCAACAAGGTCTCATTTATGTCAGGTCCAGTTCTCGTAACAAATGAGTTCAACACCCCTGCTCTAGATTCACTGAATAAGTCCCCATTGAAACTTATGTCACACGTTTGGCCATGTTGACTGCAGCTGAAGAACAGACCCCCAAACCGAACTGACACATGGTCAAATGTCTTTAGTTTCTATGTAGAGTTACAGTACTTGTGTTATACAGATGCCATTCTAAATTGAAAGCCATAGGGAAATATTTGGACCATGAGGTATAGAAAAGCAGGTCACAACAAATCCCACATCCTTTGAATCCTTTGAAAGCTGCAAATTGTAATTGGATTAAGAGGGGTAGCCATGTTAATCTGACTTTAGCAGTAGAAAAGAGTAAGAGTCCAGTAGCACCTTAAAGACTAACAAAATTTGTGGTAGGGTAGTGGTTTAGACCATGTAACACCATGACCATCCCTTCTCTCTGCTTTGGAGCCACTTATTCTTTATCCAAACAAGCAGAAAATTAAGGTTCTTACCAAGAAACGTGTCAGCGAGGATGTTGGACTGGAGTGCCAAAGCAGTTCTGAATCCCTTGCTGTCAGGAGGGATGATTGTTGACTGGCAGACAAAAGCCCTCACAACATTGGAATAATATTCTGACTCTGCTACCATATCCCTTAGTGTAATATCAGTTATATTGTCAGCACAAAGTGCCATCTTTTCACCCTATGGAAGTTTAATGGGAAAAGAAGTGATAAGTATGTACTTGGCATGCAGGATTTTCTGGCACCATCTAAAACAGAGGTCATGGGCCTCCCACTGTGATTTACTGCTAATCTCCCAACAAATTAAGAAAAAATACCTGAAACATTAAGCTGTACTCCCAGGAAAGAACTGTTTCAATTTGTTTGCAAATTGTCACAGCCATATCCTCTTTCACACGTATTTTATCAGAAACAGTGGTAGGAAATGACATCTTTTGAGATCATTAGGACCACATGCTGCTTACTTGCAGGGTATAATGAACCACCTTGTAAATTAAATGCAGTTTGGGCTTTAGACAACGATATACTCCCTGACTGAAACTTACAGCAGAAATTTGGAAAATGGGAAGCATATCTTTAATGGAACATGCAGATCAAATGGCTGCAATATTTTACCATGCAGGAAACAAGTGGATTACAGACTTTACAGATCCTCTTGAATTCATTCAGAAGCACTTCCTTTAATACAGGATGACAATGCTCCATACTATTGGCAAATACTCAGCTGTTGCGCAGCATTTCAGAATAACAGCAATGACACATAATACAATTTAAGCAGGTCAACACAGAATATTCTCTGGTTTTGATTATCAGGTTGGAAATTGCAGTAGGAAAGGAATATTTCCCAAAAAATGCTTTTGTGCAATTATTCACCTTTTTGTCCTGTTTGGTACTATTGTTTTGCTTAAAGTGTTTCTGCTTCTTACTACTCTCCCCCTGTCTGGTGCTTTCTTCTTCTTCTTCTTCTTCTTCTTCTTCTTCTTGGATTAGTCATATGAACAGTCTTAGTCAGTCAAGGATCCAACAGAGTGAGAAGATATCTCAGCACTATGTTTCAGTTGAATTTGTGGATGTGATATTAGTGAGGATGAATGGGGGCAACTGAAAGTGAAGCCAATGCTTTCTGGTTCAATCATAATTATGATACCAGCCAATCAGGGGCTGTAGCTCAATTGTAGAGCATCTACTTTGCATCCAGAAGGTCTTGGGTTCAATTTCTGGAATCTCCAGTTAAAAGGAGCAGATAATAGATGATCTGTAAAACCTCTACCTGAGACCCTGGAGAGCTGCTGCCAATCTGAATAGACGATACTGAATGTGATAAATCAATGGCCTGATTCAGTATAAGGCAGCTTCACCCATGTGCATGCACATGAACACATGGTTAATACATACAGAATACAGCTCTCCCCAGGTGGCGGCTGTCGGGATTGAGCTTCCATCATCTGCCCTGAAGCACAGACCAATGTGGAAGCCACGTTGGCACACAGCCGTGAACACCCCACAGTGAGAGGAGCGAGCAGATGAAGCATTGCTGTTTTAAAGAACTTTCCAAATGAGTAAATTTGTTTCCTGATTAAAGAAGATCTGAACTAAGAGATTAATTTGAGAAATTGAGAATTGAGACCTGCGCAGCCGGACTGTGGGAGGAAGGAGGGTGGAAGGTTGAAAGTTTCCCCCCCTCATGAAAAAATGGCTTTTGCTCTAATTAGAGAGGGAGTAACAGCGTCTGTCTTCCTGGCTAGGAAGAGATACAGTTGCAATGAGAGTCCTCTCTGATACTATGGCTTTTCTGAGAGGTCCAGTTTGATATACAAGCAAAAGACATAAAGTGGCTCAAATTTCCAAAGTCATTTTGCCCAAAGAAGATTATAACAACATGCTTTATTTTCTCTGTCTTTGAGAATCACGGTTCGTTGGAGGGGGAAGTGACGTGGATCTTTTTTTTTTTACTTCCAGCATGACGTGAAGCTTGCCTAATTTGGATTAACTCTGTTATGTCAGAGTTAATGATTAGAGGACTGGAAGGCAAAAGAGGCTTTGTTCATATCTGTAATAGATTTGGAATGTCATTCTTATCTGCAGAAGTGATTTCCAGACTGTGCCTCCAAGAAAGTTGGCTGTAAGTCTAAATCTGTTTACTTGTTAAATATTGGTCTGGGAAGAAAAAAGAGGGGGACTATTTTAGCATTGCGTTTGAAAAAGGTATTACTAGAGATAATACATCAAGATCAAGCAGGCTTCCTGCCAAAGAGACAATTGAAAAATTATGTGAGAATAATTGTAAATATTTTGGAATATTATGAAGCACATCTGGAAAAACAAATGGCATTATTTTTTTAATGCAGAGAAAGCTTTTGACAATGTTAGTTGGAACTTTATTATTCAGCAACTATGAGAGATTGATGCTGGAGAAGAGTTTATAGATGATTCAAGCAATTTACACTCAACAAAGCGCCAAAGTGAGAATCAATGGAGATTTAACGAAAGAAATAGCAATTGAGAAGGGAATGAGACAAGAATGTCCATATCACCGTTATTATTTATCCTCACTTTGGAAGTATTAAATAACCTGATCAGAGAAGACAAAAGTATTAGAGGAACAACAATACGTGGAGAGAAATATAAAGTACAAGTCTTTGCAGATGACTTAGTTTTTATTTTAGAAGATCCCAACACTATATACAATCTGATGAAGAACTTAATGGAATTTGGAGAGATGGTGGGAATGAAAGTGAATAGACAAAAGACAAAGATGATCACAAAGAATATAACACAACCTATAAGAACCTAAGAGAAGCCAATGTTGGATCAGGCCAATGGTCCATCTAGTCCAACACTCTGTCACACAGTGGCCAAAAATAACAGGTGCCATCAGGAGGTCCACCAGTGGGGCCAGGACACTAGAAGGCCTCCCACTGTTGCCCCCCCTCCAGGCACCAAGAATACAGTACATCACTTGCCCCAGACTGAGAGTTCCTATCTATAAAAGAGCTGGTGGGGAAAACAGGATTTAAATTAGAGCGTAAAGTGAAATACTTAGGTATTACCTTGACAAATAAATGTAGTGATGGAAGATAATTATATGAAACTATTTAAAGAAATCCAAAAAGATTTGGATAAATGGAATAACTTGCAGTTGTCATTTATGGGAAAAATAGCTGCAATTAAAATGAATATACTTCCTAGACTTATTTTTCTTTTCCAAACTATTCCAATTTTACTGAAATAATCATACCTCCAGGAACTGAACAAAATAATAATGATGTTTATATGGCAAGGGAAGAAACCTAAAATAAAATTGAAGGCATTACAGGACTTTAAACAGAATGCAGGCTTTGATCTTCCTGACTGGGGAACATATTATAAAGCTTGTGTACTGACATGGATTAAAGAATGGATAAGAATTGAAAATACGAGACTGTTAAAATTGGAGGGACATGATTTAAAGCTAGGAGGGCATGCCTGTCTCTGGTATCAAAAAGCAGATAATCATAAATATTTAAAAAAACATTTGGTGAGGAAAGCATTGCTGTTAGTATGGGAAAGAATCAGGCATAAAATATATGCAAAGATTCCAAAATGAGTCTTTCCAGTGGAAGCATTTATTCAACCTATATTATTGGAGAAGAAAAAAGTACTTAGATATGAAGATCTATTAGGAAAGGAAGATAGGTTGAAGTTCATAGAAGAACTAGAGGAATAAGATATATATTTGGATTGGTGGACAAGAGTACAGCTAGAATCTAGATATGCTAAAGATAAATCTCAAGGGTTCTTTGTAGAACCATTGGAGTTTGGCACACTTTTATATGAAACAAATGATACATTGATTAAGAAATTTTGTGTATTTGTTACAGATAAAGATGGAGGATGAGGTGATTAAAGAATGAAAGTTAAAATGGGCCCAAAATTTTGGTTATAATATTGATCTTGACCATTGGTTGTAAATATGGAAAACAAATGTTAAAATAACAAAATCGGTTCCCTTTAAAGAAAATTTATACTAAATGTTTTATAGGTGGCATATAACGCCAGAGAAATTGGCCAGAATGTATCCTGGAATGTCTGATAAATGCTGGAAATGTAAGATACAGGTGGGAAGCTATTTTCATGTTTGGTGGAAGTGTAAAGAGGTGATGTTATATTGGAGAAGGGTTCAAAAATATTACAAAAATATGTTTAATACCACTACCATTTAAACCTGAAATGTCCCTGCTTAATATTATGCCTGATGTAAAAGATAAGAATGCTAAATATCTAATTATACATAGAGTCACAGCAGCAAGAACTCTTTATGCTAAGTACTGGAAGAAATCAGAGATACCAACAAAAAATGAACTTCTGCCAAAAATCTTTGAAACAGCAAAAATGGATGTACTGTTAAACTTGTTGAAAGACAGAAGTAATAAAAAGGTGAGAGACAATTGGACACTATTTTATGACTGGGTGGAAAGAAACTTTGAAGACCAAGAACAATGAACATATATAATATAAATTTGGAGAAACTCCAATTTGAACTATATAGAATTTGACTCTTTTCAGGAATCATAACAGAACATTTTAGCGATTTTATTTACACTAGTTTTAGTAATTACATAAAAGAAAGAGAGCTGGAAACAAAGAATTATTACTGAAAGTTGTAACAGCTATCATACAAACTTCATAGAATTTCCCTTTATGTCTTATCCCATACCCTGTACCCTTCCTGTCTTATAATATGTTAAAACCTAGTAAACATTTAATTATATTTAAAAAAAAACTGCAAAAAAAGGGGAAACAATTATTACCACCAAAAAAAACCCTCATGAGTTGTTTGGGCTGATCTTAAACTTTAATTACAGTTGGTGAAATCTATGTTTTTTAATATATTATATATTATAATTATTTTCCAATACAAAAGTTACAATAAATTTACTTTTAAAAATGGATTAGATATCTTCAAAGCATCTCAGTAAACATTAACAGTGCTATTCTGCAACCAATACATGCAAGGCTACTACAGTGAATTTAGTTTTACAATATCTTCATGATAATAATAAGCAGTAAATCTAATCAGAGAGTACAAATCCTTGATTTTCTCAAACCACTGCCAGACTGTAGAAGTATTTACCTTCCAATGCCTCACTGTAATAATTCTTTTTTTTTTAAGAATAGCAACATAGTTCATTAACAACATCTTTGGCATGAATGGAACAACAGTACCTAAACTTTCCTTAACTGCATGAACTGCTCAGTTTGCATGTATGTGCTCGGTTTGTCCATAGGCACTTTCACATTCACCAACTAATACTTCTGTGGTGCTCTTTGGTGTATGCAGAGAACCCTAAAAAATTACAGGGACCAGGAAAGGAACAGACAGAGGAGAATACTTCTGGCCTAAGACCCAAACAGAGAAATGAGGTGGCATGGGTCCTGACAAATCATCAGGGACGGCCAGGGCTTTTTTTGTAGAAAAAGCCCAGCAGGAACCCATTAGCATAATAGGCCACACCCAACAACAGGAACTCATTAGCATATTAGGCCACACCCCCATGTTACCAGAAGTGTGGTCATCCAGCCACACCCACCTTTTGCTTCTTATTCTGTTTACTTTGTTGTCAAAACCCTGAGCTTTTTTTGTAGCAGGAACTTCTTTGCATGTTAGACCACACACCCCTAATGTAGCCAATCCTAATGAATTTCTGCTGTTAGGTGTGGCCTATTATGCTAATGAGTTTCTGCTGGGCGTGGCCAACTCGGGGGCCAGCCGAAACTCCGTTCCTGTGCCTTCCTGCCCAAAAATAGCCCTGGGGACGGCATACATACAACCTGTGTGGTGCCAGCTGCACTGGCTTCCAGTAGAATTCTGAATCAAGTTCAAGGTTTTGATGTTGACCTTTAAGGCCTTGAGCAGTCAGGGAGCAACGTATCCGGGGGACCATTTCCTCTGGCATTTATTTGTTTGTTTGTTCAACTTATATCCCGCCATTCCTGCAAGCAGGCTCAGGGCAGGTAAGAACAACAGAACACATCCAACAATTAAAACAAGTTATATAAGCAATAAACGTTAAAAACAGTTAAAACATGAAAATATCGGGCTAGTTAGCAGCAATTCATGGCTCTTGCAATGTTAAAAAAACAAGCAACAGAAACAGGAAACTCGCCAACTGGTATGTCCCCGGGAGAGCACTACATTCTTCGAATAGCAATTGGCTGCTGGTCCCCTGCCCTAAAGACGTCTGGCTGCCCTCAACCAGGGCCAGGGCTTTTTCAGTCCTGGCCCCAACCTGGTGGAACTCTCTGCCAAATACCACCAGGACTCTGTGTAGGATTGCCAAGTGCTTTTTGAGCCACAGCGGGGGACTCCCGGCTGGCGGCTGGAGTGCGTGCACGTCACCCAGAAGTGACGTGACAACGCCAGGCACACTGGGGGCAGAGCCACGACCATCTGAGGGAAAACCATAGAGTTTTCCCTCGGATGACCGTGGCCCTGCCCCCAGCGTGCCCGGCTTTGTCGCATCACTTCTGGGTGACGTGCATGTCAGGGTGGGGTTCCCCCCGGGGCCCGATCTGCCACCGACGAGGAACGGACCTCTGAGGCGGGGGTTTCCCCGCCCCCCGGGGGGACTTGGCAAGCCTAACTCTGTGGGATGTCATGCGATTCCACAGAGCCTGTAAGGCAGAGATGTTCCATCAGCTGTCTGGTTGAGGGCAGCAACAGTTTTCACTCTAGCTGGCACCCTCTTCTGCTCTCCAGATCAGTCATCCCTCTTCCTCCTCTGCCCATGAGGTAGCTGGGCAGTCCGGAATGGGGAGTGATCTCAGTTCACCATCTGGAGTATTAACTTTATTTATTGGTAATGTTCTATTTTAATTGTAGAGTTTTTATGTTTTTATTCACTGTTGTACGTCGCCCAGAGCCCTGCAGTAGTGGGGATGGGCGATTCAAATAATAACAACAACAACAACAGAAAACTCAGTGTGATGACAATACAACATGGGGTAAATGATTACCCCAGATGCTGGAGTTGGTGGCAGCCCCATGTCACACATGATCTTTAGGTCTGCCTTGGAAGGCCAACACTTACTTGGTTTCCACACAGGCTGATGTTGAAGAAATGGAAGAACTTTGTTCCTCTTGCTGTAAAGCTTGGTCCATTCATTACTGAGCCTACTCCATTTAGGTTGCTAAAATCATAGGTCAAAGTCTGATTGTCCTTGACGTAGGACAGCTTGCAATTGCTGAAGCATGCAGAATGGTCCTTAGAAAGGAGAACAATTGTACAGAAGTCACAAATAATCATTTTGGATAATAACATTTCACCAGCACGAAAATGGACATCCAATACAAAAGTCAGCACTCTCGGGGTGGGGGGGACAGCTAGGTTTCTAGTCCTTATGCACGCAAAGGTAAGATTCTGAAACGCAAAGGTAAGATTCTGAAAATACGAATTTGGAATGCAGCTTGCACAAAATTTATTTTGGATAATAACATTTCACCAGCACGAAAATGGACATCCAATACAAAAGTCAGCACTCTCGGGGTGGGGGGGACAGCTAGGTTTCTAGTCCTTATGCACGCAAAGGTAAGATTCTGAAAATACGAATTTGGAATGCAGCTTGCACAAAATTTATTAGAATTTGAAATTTGTTGTACATGCTTCTGAACATCATCTCCTCCCTTTCACTTGGTAAACAGTACTCAGTCATATTCAGCCCTGATCATGAACTGCTAAATCATGCCCAAGATTTATAATCTTCCCCAAACCTCTTCGGGCTGCTTGTATGGACCTGAAACTGTACACATTAGAAACTAAACAGTCTTGCGGGGATAAGGCACAATAAAAAACAGACAGCTTGTTTGTTCAAAGGACTAGACATAGTCACAGATAATAGGTCTGTGAGTGGCCATAGCCATATTGTACTACAGATTATCAGATGATGGAAGCAAAAAACAATTGACAGGTCTTTCCACCCTGTTCTACTTCTAAGCTTTTCAGCAGCTTTTGGCTGGTTGTTGCTGTAAGTGGACTAGATGGACCCTTACACTACTCTTCTCTTTATGCCTGATTTCAGTCAAAACTACCCATAGCTGGGCTACCTTGGTACTTTGGCTGCCAGGTCCACACGGCACACATGCCTCTTGGCCATATACTTGATAAATGGACAGGTAAGTGTTGGGTGGACACTCCTTGCATTGACTGGTTTCCTTTTCTATGTAGTGCCCAGCAGGGCAGGGGATGCAGGATGAGCCAGATTCTTCAGAACCAACAGCACAGGCCTGGCAGAAGGAGGCCACCCCATCGACTGTGTTGGTCACAGTTATCATGTAGATCCTTGCCGTGTCATAGATGAGCTTTCTGCTCTGGGAGGTGTGGGGAAAAACCAGCATAAAGTAAAACAGAGGTTCTACTGACACATGTTCTAAATGGATCATACAAAGCATAGCCTTTACTCCTGTATTATTGCAATATTCTTGCAGGACAACAGAACCCACCGGTTAGATTACTGGCCCCATTGATGAAAAACCATTAGCACACTGGATCTAGTGGGGTTGACAAAGGCCAACAATGCTAGTCTCAGAATATGAACCTCAGCAGCTCAGCAAATCTGCCTCTAATAGGGGCCAGAAAAAGGATCCTCTTTCATATTCCTATTCACCATGTAGCTGCTGCAATTCTAGTGTCTGCAGTGCTGCAGATGGAAGAAGGGAAGACTCCCTCCCTTCTCCCCTCCTGTCCCTCCCAAGTCTTCATTGGTGATGGTATTGGGAACTACTGTCTCAACCAAATCAGCAAAGAAGGAAAATGGCGAGGAGTTCTCCACCTTCTTCTCCCTGGCACCCCCCTTCCCCTACCCAACAAATTGCCAGGGAGCCTGGGAAACATCTGCCTTCACATTAAGTGTGCCTGCTGATCATCTCTACCCTTAGAAGCACTCCAGTTGTGCAAGATACATTCACAGATGCAACCAAGGGTAAGAAAATATTTCAGTGCACAACTGAAGAGCAGAGCCTCTCCACTGCCAGTACAGAGGGCTACAGCCTAGAGCTGTGAGACATTCCAGTTGATAGTCGGAATGCCACACACTGTGATGGAGCAAAAATGCCATTACTTACTTTGTGGGCTTGGTTTGTTCTCTGGAAAGCCCAAGTGAATGTATAAGAAGCATTTTTGGAGATAACGTATGTGTACAACTGCTTCTCCTTCATGCCACTCCAGGATTTCACCACATTGGTGAACTTCTTGTTGATATCCTGGAAGCAAAAGACATTGAACAACCGAACAATGTTGGTTAGCAGAATTGGCTTGTTAAATAAAGAAAGAAAGGAAATCTTTTCTTGGGGGGAGGAGAGCATGGAATCGCCCAGGTCTACCCCCCTTGGGTCACAAGGAGAAAACCATTTACTCATGAATCAGTGGAGAGAAATTCACCTTTGGTGGTCCTCCCCTTAACATCACCTTTATTTCCCCATATTATTCCCAGTCTGTGCTGGTGACAATCTTGAAGCTTCATGGCATGAACATTATAAGCTATCAGTGCACCTAATGTCAGTTCAATGTCCCTTTGAGGATAAGAAGGGTGAAAAACAGGAACGATATCTTGCACCTGCAGTGACCTCTTTATTTCAATAAAGACCTCTTTCTCACTTAAAAGAATATTAACAGAGTTAAGAATCTGCCTGACCTAGAAAGCTGAAACACAAAGTTCATTACTCTCTGATCAGGAGGAAGCATGACAATGGACCATCAGTGACTGTCTTCTCTTCTTCCCATGCTTTCTTATCACATAGGATTCTTCCCCTTCATCCTCAGAAGGAAAGGCAGACACTACCATTTATGGGCTCACTCATCTGCCAGCAATAGGACAACTGAGTGGCTTCTGACTCTGGGTCAGAGGGAGGGAGAGCTTTTCCTCTGCCCTCACACACTGATTTATGTGTGCAGAATAAAAATTTAGTTTGCTTTGAAGTTATGATGAACTGATGGTCATGTAATAATGCCCAGGTGGAAGGTGGAAATGCAGCATGCCAGATGTCAAACACGGTTAACATCTTGTCAGCCCTGATCACAACTTCACTCACCACTATGAAATACAGCGAACAATCTGCAGAGCAGATGGTGTCAAACACAAAGGTGATCCGTCCAAGTTCTGAGCCTGTCACCCCTCTGACAGAAGTTGGCAGCCTGTCCAGCGAAGAGGGAACAAAAGATTTACAATGATTTCAAAAGCTACTTGTCAGTTTACAACAACAAAAAAATGGGAGAGGGCAAACCATCTCCTACCAAACCAGTGCAGTCACATCTTACGTACCTGCTCTGAAACACGCCTCCCTTTCTAGAGTGGCATGGCTCAAGAGCCACATTAGGCAGTGCCCGGTTGGATCTTCCACTCCCTATAAGGTTCTCATTCAATGCCAAGTGCATGACACAGATAGTGCTGTGCTGTGTGTTCCCCCATTTGGGAAACATTAATGCAATCAACACACATGAGCCTTACTGGCTGCAATTCAGAGCTCTCCCTTTTGCACAACACATCAGAGTGGTCACTTATGACTTTAACCAGAGTTCCCATTCATTCCCTTCCAACATAGTTTGCCCACATGGATCCTTACCATGCAGGCCTCAAGATCCCAAACCTTCTTTATATATTTTTATCTTGTAGTGGCTAAGCATGAGACTATGAGACAGGCACAATGGGAAATACAGAAAAGAAATTAGAAATCTCACCCCCCAAAATTAAAAAACAAAACTGCTTCTTACTTAAATCCTGGTACGTGAAGGTTCAAAATGAGATAATCGTCATCTGTGCCTCCTGCCCCAGTTCGGATGTGATCATCAGCTACTTCCCAGCCTGAAAAAGGGAAATCCCATCTAAAAACTGGTAACGTGTCATTTTAAAAAATAAACAAAATCATGTAAAAATATCAGCCGCTATCCATCAACTGCAAACAATAACAAAAACAACTGTGATGTTATATTATGAAAATATGTTTAGACTACTATTCTGTAGTGAATCGTATTTCTTCATAACGTTTCAAAAATATATGCATACACACAACGGGAATTGCATATAATACTGTTTCACATAACAGCTTTTTCTAAGTGTGCTACATGAATACTATTAGTTTCATGAATACTATTAGTTTTCATGTCACTGAAAAGAGAGGAAAAACAGTTACATTAACCATCTTACATTACCACTAATTCTTGCATGAAAACTCCATAATGCCTACCGTAATGTTATAAATACTTACACAGTTCTTATAAAACATCTATTTCCTCTGAGTGTACAAGATCTGTGAATAATGAGTGTATAATGTATACAATGGCGGGTCTGGGCAGTATAAGCATTCTCTTTAAATGTGTGATCTCATTTTGCTACCTGTTAGTAATTAAGATAGTGTTTTTATGTAAAGGGAGTGGTTTGTTATGCATATCATGAGCACTGAAAGATCTGTTTCATTGAAGTGGGAAGAATGTTGTGTGTTAATTCACAGATTAGAATTGTGTAAGTATAACATTACGGTAGGCATTATGGAGTTTTTATGCAAGAATTAGTGATAATGTAAGATGGTTAATGTAATTGTTTTTCCTCTCTTTTCAGTGGTGTGTAAACTAATGGTATTCACGCAGTACACTTAGAAAAAGCTGTTATGTGAAACGGTATTATATGCAAATCCCGTTGTGTGTATGCGTATATTTTTTAATGTTAGGAAGAAATACAATTTACTACAGAATAGTAGTCTAAATATATTTTCATAATATAACATCACAGTTGTTTTCATTATTGTTTGCATCCTTCCCGTGATCTCTCTGTTGTTTCTACTATCCATCAACTACCTAACACAGTTTTGAGCCAATTTAGATCCATTCAGTTGGCCTAATCTAAATATCTAAATATTTAGTTGACCTAATCTAAATAGTGCAAAGCGCTCTACTTGGAGCTAACATTGAAGTGTGTTTGGAAGCAGCCCCTAGCGCAGAATGCTGCGGCTAGACTGCTGGTCGGGGCCAGCTACCAGGAGCATATGTCCCTGATACTACAGCAATTACACTGGCTACTAAGGGTGGGCATTCAGGTGTATCTGAGCAGGAAAAAAATATCCAAAAAATACTTTACTGGTATTTTTCTGGCATTTCTTAAGCCAAATATACATTAGGGAATCTCAATTGCTATGTGGTATTCCCGATCCACAACCCCCCCTTTCCCCCAGAAATATTCAAGAATGCTGAACAGGAATTGTTCTGCAGAATTGCCCTATGCCCTTTTCCTGCCTTTTGCTCTGGTTTCCAGGGCAACAGGAGGGAGGGGGGATGAGGCATCTCTCAGAAGCAAATGGAATAGTACCTCAGTGTGAGCTATAGTGTTGTTTGCCCAATCAGAGCCGCTTGCAAGTTTGTTTGGCTTCAGATGTTGAGTCCAACAACCCCGTTCCCCCCACCCCACAGCAGGTTTCCCAGGGAACAGGCGGGAGGCAAATAGGATTGCACACTAGGGGGAGCAGTGCTCTTTGCCCAATCACAAGAATTGTTTCATGGCTGGTTTTTCCCCCAAAAATTCTTCTGAGCATGGGCAAAGAGCTTAAAAGCTCTTTTTTGGGTCCAATATACCCAAGTCCAAAAAATACCCCCCCGAAAAATTATGCACACCCCTACTGTCTACCCATTTGCTCCCAAGGCCAATTCAAGACCTACATGTCTTGGGACTAGGTTATCTGAAGGACCATCTTTTCCCCTATGTTCCTTCCCGGGAATTAAGATGGCGGGAATATGCCCTCCTGACTGTCTCACCAATTAAAGATGCTAATTTGGTGGGTACATGAAAGGTGGCCTTTTCTATAGCAGCCCCACAATTATGGAACAACCTCACTAAGGAGGTGCATCTGTCTTCCTCATCGTGAATCTTCAGGAAGCAGTTGAAGACAGCTTTATTTAGGACTGCATTTTGATTGATTTAGCTTTTATTATTGGCAGTCCTACTAGTTGGAGTTTTTTAGCTGTGACTTTTATGGGTTCTGTAATAGTTGTTTTACTATGTTTTTATAATGTTTTATTTATATTGTAAGCCACCTTGATTTCCACAAGGGAGAAAGGCAACTAATAATTGTTTTAAATAAATAAAAAATAAATTCCAGTGATTTTTTTTTTTAATCACAGCCTAAAGAACTCATTTAAAATCAAAAAGAAAATGTTGGGCACAGGAAGGACACCAGACAATAACCCTGTAGCTGTCAGGCCTTATTTATAATTATAGTTACACTATAATTATTTTTACAGTGCCAGGGTTGTGGAATAGTATGGTATAGCTCAATTTTATTGTATCTTGGAAGTTAAGCAAGGTCGGTCAGTACTTGGATGGGAGAAAAATCAAGAAAGTCTCTGCAGAGGAAGGTAATGGCAAACCTGCTTCTCACTTACCTTGAAAGCCCCTTGCTGGGGTTGCCATGAGTCTGTTGCAACTTGACAGCATATGAATACATATACAGTGCCATCAATGTGAATTATGTTTCACAAAGTACAAGGCTTACTTAAGGCTGAACTTAAAAATAACACATTTGAAAACAATAAAGAAACAAAAATACAAGTCCTCTATTCCTGACAATATCTAGTCACAGAAGATAAAACATAGGGCCTTGGGCTTGGCAATCCTGTCACAGATGTTGTTGATTATGAGGAAATCACTGACTATTCCACTCACTGATCTGAAGCCCCATTTGGAAATCTGGTGAACCTGTTTCGAGAGAAAGGCCAGCTATGATTCTTGGCCCTGCAATTAAAGGCCACCAGCTGTGTCATGATAGTGTCTTGTCTCTCTGGATCCCCTGTGAGGTCATGACTGAGGGGTGGAGACTTGAAATGAGGAGTTTCCAACTCAGGGCTCCCTCTCTGACCCACCATGCCAGCTCACCATTCATTCCATCACATTTGGAGTTGCCAACATTAAAACATGAGGTCTTCATATTGCGAGGGAGCACATTCCACCACTTGTATTCTAATCCCAGAGCCGGTTCCGTCCCCGTACGGCAGGGTTTGCACTCTACAAGAAGAAATGAAGAAAAAAGGGATGTACAATCTAAGCCAGCTTCAAATAACAACATTTTAGTAGATAAGGCATTAAACAGTTAAGAATGAACAATTATCAGGTGATCTTCTACATCAAAAAGGAATGTAATGATTGCACCCTGACTTGGATGGCCTAGGCTAGCCCAATCTCATTAGATCTGGGAAGCTAAGCAGGGTCAAGCCTGGTTAGTACTTGGATTGGAGACCTCCAGGGAAGCCCAGGGTTGCTATGCAAAGGGAGGCAATGGCAACCCACATTTGTACACTTCTTGCTTTTGAAGATCCTATTGGGGGACATCTGGTAAGAGGGCATGGTGATCTAACATCCCCATGAAAGTGGAGACCCACCACAGTGGGAAATTATTAGCTGGAGGATGAATTCCAGCTGAAATCTCTCTGGATCAAAGAGAGAGCAAGTGATTAACCCCTTATGCTCATATCGGCAGCTCCTGAAAGGCAAGCTGCAAAAGTGGAGGCTTTTGTGCAGCTCTCCGAGAGTTCTGAGTGCTGGAGACCCGGGGAAACAGTGTTGCTCATCAACGGTGGCGAAGTCTTAAGAGGACGCTAAGATCAGCTGACCCTCATCCTTTCACCTTCAAAGGACTTAATTAACATTCCTGACCAAGATAGATTTTCTTCTACAACCTTCTTCTAATGACCTCTGACTTATTCACAGAAAGCTTAGTAAAAATATATGAAGTAATGAACATTTTTTAAACAGACAGAGGGACAGTGAAAACCTTTTTTCATACCAATGGCGAATCTGTGTTTGGATAATGTCTGCCAACTATGAAGATCGGAATGGATGAATGTGGACTCTGTGTTTGCTTTTAGATGGGATTTAATTGGAGACTCTTCAATAACAAAGTGGTGATGCAATGTTGCTGTGGAGATTTGACGTGATTGTGGTATCTAAACATCTGAAGATGTGTTCCCTGGTTTATCTAGCTAGCTGGCAAAGAAAGTTCTGCTTCAGGTTTTAAAGTGAGAGTTTTGCTTCAAGATTTAAAGTGACAATGTCTCAAGGCACAAGGAAGAGGACTGGCTCAGTGGATCCAACTTTTGATAAACCAGTTACATCTGAGTTGATACAAAAATTATTTATCAGTTGGGAAATAGGTTTGATGCCTTTGAGAAGAAACTGGAGGACAATTTTCTGAAGCTGAAAGGTGAAATGACTGAACACATTAAAAATTTGGACTGTTCCATAAAACAGATTTCTACAGAAGTTGACAAAGAGAATAATAAAGTGGAAACTTTACAGAGTAAAACGGAAGTATTGGACAGAGAGTTAGAAAGACATCAAGACAATCTGGCCCTATTAGAATTAAGAGAGAAGGAATTCTGCCTAAGACTTAGAGCTATTCCAGAGTTTTCAAGTGAAGATATTAGACAATGAATTACTGAAGCCTTAGCAAATTTTCTAGAGGTCAATAGAAAATATGGAAATGGAAATTGACAAGATTTAGAGAATAAATTCTAGATGTGCCACAATGGAAAAGGTTCCAAGGGACACTTTGGTGCATTTTGTTAGGAAGAAGACAAGAGATCACATCCTGCAACAACAGTTCAATACTAGATTGAGAATGTACAATGTAGATATCATTGTTATGAAATAAATTCGTACTAGAATTTTACGCAAGAGAAAAGTCTACTCCTCCCTAACTGATAAATTAAAACAGAAAAAGATTATATTCTGATGAGACAAGTTGGAGAGAGTGGGTCTTACTTTTAAACAACAGAGATTTAGATTGAATTCTGTAGAAAAAGCAGGAGATTTCTTGGAGAGATTTAAAAGAGACCTCAAAGACATGCAGTCAGAGACACCAGAAGACCCACAACACTTGCAACAAGATGTGTAAAAAGAGGATACACATCCTGAGGATACAACTAATGACACTTCAGAAATTAAAGCTTAAATATGTATTACAAATTTCTAACTTTGAATATAAATGGGGCCAATGCCCCCCAAGAGAAAAAAAATTCTATCATTTGAATAAGTTAAAATATGATATTATTTGTCTAGAAGAGACCCAGTGCAACAGCTGAATCCTGAAAGTCCTGTCACAATAGAGCATGACAGTAACCCAGAGGGCAAGAAGATGGTACAGGCCCTGAAGGAGACCATTATGGAAGCCTTCCATATTATGAAGAGAAAAGGCCAGATCCATCAGAATAGCACATCTAAGGAAATACGACAGGAATCGGACCTTAATGAGGGCTGGTTTGAACTCTAAGGGTGTGTTCAGACGGGGCGTTTCAGCCAGCATAAACTGTACCGGTTGGAACCGGTGCAGTTTATGCCGGCTGAAACGCGATCACACTTACCTCCCTCACAGCGCAGCCCATCGCTGTATGCCCGTTCACATGCTGCGGGCGTCGGCTTTTTTTTTTTTTAACTCAGTTTGAGCATGCGCATAGGCAGCCATCCACAGAATGGCAATCTTTGCGCATGCTCAAAACACCCCATATTACAGTTAAAGTTTAAAGGTAAGGACTTGCCTTTAAAGTTTAAAGCCCAAACTGGCCTCCCTGAAGTCCCAGACTCCTCCGAAATGTTAAACTAAGGGCCTTTTCTTTTTTTAAAAAACGCCGGGGCGAAGCTTCGCCCAAGCGCATATCAGCAACCTAAAAAAAAATGGCGGGCGAAAATCGGAAGCCTCGGGCTTCCGAACGGAAGTGGCTAGACACCGGTGGAGAGTGATCAGACGGGGGTAAACCGATTACAACCACTGTACTCAGGATACCACCACTTGGGGACCTAGTGGCAGAGTACAATAGTTTAAAGGGCTTTGCAACTGTTAGGGACGGAAGGCAGATGTTCTACGTGTGAACGCCGGTAAGTTCACCGATTGCAACCGGCACCTATTCCGTTGCAAATGCCCCATCTGAACGCACCCTAAAAGTAGAAAGGGCCCTGGGAATAGAAGTATATAGATGAATAAGTAACATTTTGGTCTGGGATGAGAAATTACCTATTATTTGATTGACCTAACTCTCAAAATAATAACAGTAATTTAGTAGAATTCTCTAGATGTATTTTTAAATAATCAATGTATTGAAAGTTGTTTTTAAAAATGTATAAGAAAATATGTTCCTTTTTAACTTTTATTTTTCCTTTCCTCTCATCTCTTAATCTCATTTTGGCCTCTTCTATTTTGGTTTATATTTTGAAGGTAATATAGTTGTTTCTTTCTGTCTGTTGAAATTCATCTATGCAGTTTCAGTGATAACATCCTCTAGTCATTAAGGTCTCCTATTGTTGCATATTAGCAACCCAGAATAGTTGCCAGAGAGTTAATTTGATTTGATGACTATTGCTAGCTATCTTCAGGCTGAAAAGTTATACTGGGGTTGGGTATTTTTTAGATTTAACAAACTGTAATCAGATATTAAGGTTCTATTGTGTTACTTATAACAAAATATAAAGACATAGTTAATTTTATATGGGCATCAAGAAAAGCCAAGGCCTGTATATTCAGCCCATTGGAGGAGCGTGTGCAATGTCTGAAGGCCCCACTCTGTTGTTGTGTCCTTTTTCAGAAGTATATTGCCAGAAAGATTTGGCTAAACATGGATTCTGATTGGTTCATGTTGAGGTTCAGTTGTTTTAATTTAATTTATGTATTCAATTTGTGAATCATCTATTCCCTGCAATGTAAGGCTCTAGGAGATGTACAACCGTTAAAAACAAAAGCCTGGCCTCTTATCAATTTTTGGCTCAAATTAAATTATTCTCCCCAAGGATTAACACCTTTAATCCTTCAGGATTGCTTTTGACCCTCCTGGTTTATATTCTTCTTCTCTTAATCTGAGACCTTTAATTTGCACATCCACTCTAATCACATAATTTAGAACCTCAAGGACAAAAATGAACAATAGAGGTGAAAGAGGGCATCCTTGTCTAGTTCCTTTTTGTATCTCAAAATTTTGTGATAAATCTCCATTAATAAGGACCTTAGCTTGTTGTTTAGTATAAATTGCTTTAATCATTGTATAAAATTCGATACCAGTTTGAGATTTTAAAAGTAGCTCAAACATAAAGTTCCAACTGACATTATCAAAAGCTTTTTCTGCATCTAAAAAGATTAAGGCCATTTGTTTTTCTGGGTGGGCTTCATAATATGCTATAACATTCAGTATCATTCTTACATTATTATGAAAAAATAACAGAAATAGATAAGATATTGATGTATGCTGATGAGAAACTCATTAAGAAAAATGTGCTACTTTTAGATAACAAGACCCAAGATGAACTTGTCAAAAATGTTATGATAAAGTGGGCACAAAATTTGGGTCATAATATTGAGCTGGACCAGTGGTCACAGGGTTGGGGGGGGGGGGGAATTAGAAATTACTAAAACAATTTCATATACAAAAAATATTTATAAAATGTTTTATAGATAGCATATTATACCTGATAAACTGGCAAAAATTTATCCCAATTGTTCAGATGTATGTTGAAAATGTCAAAATAACGTTGGATCTTTTTACCATATGTGGTGGTTATGTCATAAAAAAAAAATATTGGGTTTGGATTCATGAAATTTTACAAAAAATGTTAAAATGTTCTGTATCCTTTGTTCCAGAAATATTTTTGTTGAATATCTTACCTGAATACTGTAAAAAATATGACTCTTATCTTATACTACATGTGACTACAATTGCTAGAATACTTTATGCTAAATATTGGAGAAGAACAGAATCACCCTCGAGAGAAGAAATTTTAAGTAAAATTTTGGAAACGGAGGAGATGGACAAACTAACTCTAACTTTGAAAGGACAACCAGAATCTACATTTGATAATACATGGTCAAGATTTTATAGGTGGTTTGAAGACTATAATAAATAAACCATACGAACAATTAAAACTTTCTAAGGACACACAAAATACAATTTTGAGATATTTGCAAGAGATATACATAATGATACAAGGTGAAATATATAAACATGCGATAAATTAGACATGAGTTT